TTTTGCATACCTGTAACTAAAACAGGTATGCAACATATGGTAAAAAACAGGTATAACATACTGTATGTTGATATCATATGTTGGTACTATTTTAAGGTAATTTTATCTTTTTGTAGTGAGAGTAACATGAATAGATTCAAGAAACATCTTGATCTTCAGAATGTACTGAAGATTATCCAGGGAGATGACAGCGAGTATGAGGGATGTGACAGTGACTCGGATGAAGACATTGATGACCCTGATTACACTCCTACCCGGAAAGACATGGAAAATGATGAATCAAGTGGGTCTGATTCAGAGAGCGGATCAAGTGATTTAGAAGATGCACAACCACACACTGGGAGGCAAAATACAACCAGTCAGGGTAAAAATACATTTTCTTGGAGAAAGAAATATTTTGAAACCCCTGAGTGCACATTTAAAGGGCCGAGCGTCACACCTCCAGACAATCTTCAAACGCCCCTGGAGTATTTCAGAAAGTTTATAACATCCGAAATGCTTGAGTTACTAAAGGAACAGACTAATTTGTACAGTGTGCAACAATCTGGATCTCAAAAGAATGTGAACACCACTGTCAAAGAAATGGAAATACTGATTGGTATCTATCTGCGCATGGGTCTGCACCAAATGTCAGGAAATCGTGCATACTGGGAAAATGACACAAGGTGTCCCATGGTGGCTGACAACATGTCACGCAACCGTTTCCAGACCTTGCTAGCATGTCTACATTTCACTGACAACAATGATTTGTCAAATCGGCAGGAAGGGGATAAGTGTTGGAAGCTTCGTTCATGGCTTGATATGTTTCGCAAACAATGCCTGGCTATCACCCCGGAGGAGCACAACTCAATTGATGAGCAAATGGTGCCCTTCAGAGGGACACACAGCCCAATAAGGCAGTATGTGAAGGGCAAACCCCATCCATGGGGGTTAAAAATCTGGGCCCGCTGCTCCTCCTCTGGAATCTTATGTGATTTTGCAGTTTATCAAGGTGGCACTGGAAAAAAAACACCACTTGGCATGGGAGGTGACGTTGTGGTTGAGCTGTGTGAAAGTCTCCCATCAAATCAAAACTACAAAGTTTTTGCCGACAATTTTTTTTCCTCTCCAGCACTGATTGTCAAGCTTCTTTCACGACAGATCTACTTTGTAGGAACACTCCGTTGCAATCGTTTGGCTGGTTGTCAGCTTGAAGATGAGAAAAGTCTTGCCAAGCGAGGTAGAGGATCTGTTGAAACCATGGTGGAGAAGGAAGACAGGATGGTCATTGTCAGGTGGTACGACAACAAAGCTGTTACCCTGATCTCTTCCTACTGCGCAGTTGAGCCTCAAGATAAAGCGCGACGCTGGAGAAAATCAGACAAAGCTTTTGTGGAGGTCAACAGGCCACACATTGTCAAGGAGTACAACAAATTCATGGGTGGAATAGACCTCCTTGATGCAAGTGTTGCAAATACCACATGAGATCACGTCGTGGTACATCTACCTGTTCTGGCAAACCATCATGTTGGGCCTTGTTAATGCATGGTTGATCTACCGCCCCGTGACTGCAAACTACTTGGTGTCCAAAAGCCATTGAAGCAGAGGAGCTTCCAGGCAGAGGTTGCCACTAGCCTAATTCTTGTGCAAGCACAAAGAGGTCGGCCAACAATTCACCCCACGTCTTTACCACCACCACCACAACCCAAGAGAGTTCGTTGTGGAGTACCAGATGATGTTCGCACTGAACAGGTTGCACACTGGCCTGCGAAATGTGACACGCGTGGCCGTTGCAAATTCTGCAAAGTCCTTGCAACCACCACTGTCTGTGAGAAATGTGATGTGCGTCTTTGCTTCACTGAGGACAGAAATTGCCAAACATTCTTGAAGTGAGAAATGTGATAACAATGGTTTGATCAGAGTGAACAAGTTTTTATTTTCACTGAGCATTCTATTGTTTGTTTGTTTACAGTTTTATTGCACAATATACACGTTTTTGTAATGTTATCGCACTACGTGCATGTGCAACATGTTGACCTCCAGTGTAAGGTAGTTATTTATATATTTTTTCAGTTTGCACATTTTCAAGCTGTGATAAAATTATTAAAAAAATGCATTTCTGGTTAAAACCTTTACCTGAAAAAGTAGAATTTTGCAATGTTAATGCACTACGTGCATGTTCAACATGTTGACCTCCAGTGTGAGGTAGTTATTTATTTTTATTCAGTTTGCACATTTTTGAGTAGAGAAAAAATAATCAAAATTTATTTCTGGTTAAACTGTATACCTGAAAGGTCAAATTTTGATATGTTACAAAAGAGTTTTTGTAAAATTGAATGGTCACAGTTTATGTGGTTTTAAAACATGTGGCAAAGCAAATAAAATGCTAAAACTGTATTACTTCTGAAATTTTTTTTTTTTTTATCTTTCCCGGAAAAGTCATAATTTTGAAAATGTTGTGGAAAACAAAAAACAAAAAAAACGTCTCGGTTACGTATGTAACCCTCGTTCCCTGAGTAAGGGAACGGAGACGTTACGTCAGAAGTGACGGAGATTGGGGGTTTCGCATAGAAAGCCAATCCTCTTCGAGTATTAAAACACGAGCCAATGGCATGCAATGCCTTGGGGCTGCGGAAATTTGCATAGCGTACTCCGCCCTACTCCGTGAGTATAAAAGGAGGAAGTGAACGCAACCGCAGTATGTCTTCGCTGAGGAGCCAAGACTGAACTCGGCCTCTACCCAGCGATACAGCAGAAGTGGCAGGGAGACGTAACGTCTCCGTTCCCTTACTCAGGGAACGAGGGTTACATACGTAACCGAGACGTTCCCTATCGTAGTCACTTCGAGTTACGTCAGAAGTGACGGAGATTGGGGGTCTGTGCCATCACGCCATCTTCAAGCTGTCTTCCAGTGCCCTGCGAAAGACTGAACCCCCGAGCCTTACCTCTTTTTTTTTTTTTTTTTTTTTTGGGGATCCGACTTTGACACAGGATTACCAAGGTACACTGGGAAACATATCCCGAAGGGGACATGCTACCAGCTGCCTACCAAAGGGAGGACTTAGAATACACATATGGCCACATAGGGACACATATGGAACACTGGAGTACCAACCGCAGGTGGCTACTGATTTAAACTCCAGGGGTGGCAGATGGCTTGCCAAGGGAAGACACATGCTCAGAGAGGCTTACAGTGGATAATACACATGAGACGGTTACCATGGGGAACCGTGCGCATGGAGGCACCTAGCTAGCATCCAGAGCCACGCAGTGGTGCCCGCATCGTCGGTGCTGGAGGACTCAAGACTTCAATGGAAGAACTGAGGAAATATCGCACTTATCCAGTCCGGGGAGTGGAGTGGCGAGCAAGCGAAGACACCTGAGCGGATCCAGAACTGGCCGAAACGAGTACGTGAGAGGATACCGGCTCAATTCGCAGATTATAGAATCTGGCGAAGGTGTTGGGTGTCGCCCAGCCTGCAGCTCTGCAGATGTCTGTTAGCGAGGCGCCGTGCGCTAAAGCCCAAGAGGAGGCTACACTCCGAGTGGAATGGGCCGTCACACCAAGGGGGCACGGAAGGCCTTGCTGCTGGTAAGACAAAGCAATGGCATCCACTATCCAGTGGGACAGCCGTTGCTTTGAGAGAGCCCTTCCCTTCTGGCTCCCCCATGACAGACAAAGAGCTGGTCTGAGGTCCTGAAACACTGCGTTCTGTCGACATAGGTGCGGAGAGCACGTACCGGACAGAGCAGTGCCAAGGCTGGGTCTGCCTCCTCCAGGGGCAGCGCTTGCAGGTTCACCACCAGGTCCCAGAGGGGAGTGGTAGGAACCTTGGGCATATATCCAGGCCGGGGTCTCAGGAATACGTGAGAGTAAGCCGGCCCGAACTCCAGGCACACTTCGTCAACAGAGAGTGCGTGCAGGTCCCTTACTCTCCTGATGGATACCAATGCAATCAGGAGTGCTGTCACATAGGACAGGGCAAAAACTCTACCGACTGCAAAGGCTCCAGGGGAGGCCTCTGCAGAGCACCCAGGTCTACTGAGAGGTCCCCAGAGGGCAGGAGGGGAGGGAGGCGGATTTAGCCCCCTCACTCCCCTCAGGAACCTGATGACCAGGTCATGCTTCCCATAGACTTACCTTTCACTGCATCATGAGACGCGGCAATGGCCGCGACATAAATCCAAAGGGTGGAGGGCGACAGCCTGCGCTCCAACCCCTCTTGCAGGAAGGAAGCATGACTCCGATCGAACATCTCCGGGGGTCTTCTCAGCGAGAAGAACACCAATTGACGAAGAGGTTTCACTTCAACGCATAAAGGTGTCACGTGGACGACGCTCTTGCGGAAGTGATGGTTGCCGCCACCGCAGGTGGCAGCGAACTCAAACCTGCCTCGTCCCGTCCTGGAGCCACACGTGCAGCCTCCAAGATCGGGACGAGGGTGCCAAAGAGTGCCCCGTCTCTGAGAGAGTAGGTCCGGTCTCAGAGGAATAGGCCAAGGAGGTGCTGTCGCGAGGAGCAAGAGTTCGGAGAACCACGTCTTGGTGGGCCAGTAGGGGGCTACCAGCAAGACCTGCTCCTCGTCCTCCTTGATCTTGCACAACACCCGTGCAAGGAGGCTCACTGGGGGAACGCACACTTGCGTGGGCCCCGTGGCCAGCTGTGCGCCAGCGCATCCGAGCCGAGAGAGCCGCGGGTCAGAGAATAACTGGGCGCAGTGGGACGAGTCCCGAGAGGCGAACAGGACTAACTGTGCCTCCCCGAACTGGTCCCAAATCAGCTGGACCGACTGGGGATGGAGTCGCCATCCGCCGGAGATGGGACGGGCCCGGGACAGCTCGACGGCTGCCCGGTTCCGGTCTCCAGGAATGTAACTGCACGAAGGGACCTCAGGTGCTTCTGACTCCATATCAAGAGGTGGCGGGCGAGCTGCGACAACCGGCGCGAGCGTAGACCCCCCCTGGTGGTTGATGTACGCTACTGCCGTAGTGTTGTCTGAGCGGACAAGCACATGCTGGCCCTAGAGCACGCTCGGAAGCGGTGCCGGGCGAGCCGTACTGCCAACAGCTCGAGGCAATTGATGTGCATGAGGCGCTGGGCTCCTGTCCAGGAACCGGCGGCTGCATGCCCATTGCACATGGCACCCCAACCCGTGGTAGACGCATCCGTGGAGACAACGAGATGCCTGGAAACTCGCTGAATAGGGACCCTGTCCGTAAAAAGCTGAGGTTCGACCACGGGAAGAAGGAACGGCGGCACGTCGGAGTCACTGGAACTCGGAGCGAGCCGCGATGCCATGCCCACCTCGGGACTCGATCGCGAAGCCACAGCTGAAGCGGTCTCATATGAAGCAAACCGAGCGGCGTTGCCGCGGCCGCGGATGCCATATGCCCCAGGAGCCTCTGAAATAGTTTCAGTGGAACCGCACTCTTGCCCTCGAACTGTCGAAGACAAGCCAGCAGTGAGTGCGCGCGCTCGTTCGTGAGCTGCGCGGACATGGCGACCGAGTCTATCTCCATGCCGAGAAAAGAGATCCTCTGCACGGGGCAAAGTTTGCTCTTTTCCCGGTTGACCCGAAGGCCCAGACGGGCTAGGTGCCGTAGCACCAGGTCTCTGTGTTCGCAAACCTGAGCTCGAGAGTGTGCTAGTAACAGCCAGTCGTCGAGATAGTTCAGGATGCGAACCCCGTGTTCGCGAAGGGGAACAAGGGCTGCCTCGACGATCTTCGTGAAGACGCGAGGGGACAGAGCTAACCCGAATGGGAGAACGGCGTACTGGTATGCCCGGCCCTCGAGGGCAAACCGAAGAAACGGTCTGTGTCGAGGGAGAATGGAGACATGGAAGTACGCGTCCTTCAGGTCGATCGCTGCAAACCAATCCTGATACCGAACACATTCGAAAATGCGTTTGGCCATGAGCATTTTGAACGGTAGTCGATGGAGAGAACGGCTCAAAATGCGCAAGTCCAGGATCGGTCGTAACCCACCGGTCTTTCTTGGGGACAATGAAGTAGGGGCTGTAAAGCCCGGACCTCACCTCGGCTGGAGGGACCGTCTCGATTGCACCCTTCGCCAGCAGGGTCGCAATCTCCGCTCTCAAGACTGGGGCATAGCCACCAACCATCGTGGAGCGAACTCCCCTGAAGCGGGGAAGAGACCGTGCGAACTGAATCGCGTAGCCGAATCCGATCGTTCTGATGACCCAGCGGGAACCCCGGGAAGCGCTAGCCAGGCTTCCAGGAAGTGAGCCAACGGGGTCATGCGAACCACAGACGTCCCCCCGGAGGGGCAGCGAGGCGGGTCGACCGGCATGCGTGCAGGAGTTACCCCGTCCGGATGCACCGTCGAAACCCGCTCCCCGACAGAAGAGACCAGGGAAGGCAGAGCGTTCCACGGGGGTCTGTTCTGCCGGGGGTCTGGCGACAGAGGGGGAAGGGATTGGCGTAGCCCGGGGACGACACACGCACCCTTCCGCGCCCTCCGAG